AGCCACCAATGCCCAACTTCATCTTTGTTTTTCTTTTTATTGAATTTTCTGGGAGATTATTTTACAACTTTATTTTTATTCTATTTCTCGCCATTGTTAGCTTTTCCACATGTAAAATTTTTTTTCAGTACTGGGGATGGAACTCATGACCTTCTGAACAATCTACTACTTAAGCCATGTCCCAGTCTGTTAGGATTTTTTTTTTCTATTCATCTATTCTTTTTTTGTTTTTTGTACCAGTACTGGGGCTTGAATTTAGGGCCTCACACTCTTACTTGGCTTTTTTTCACTCAATGATGGTGCTATACCACTTGGGCCACATATTTACTTTCAATTTCTGGCTAGTTAATTGCAGATAAGAGTTTCATGAACTTTTCTGCTGTGCTCACTGCAAACTTGATTGTCATATTTCAACCTCCTGAGTAGCTAGAACTGTAGTCATGAGCTACCAGCACTGGCTTCTTCATCTATTCTTATGTAGGATTGAAGCAGTAAAGAGGATGTATCTGCATAAGTAGTTTGGATTCATAGACAATCAGCCTCACTCTAGGGTGACTAGATAAGATATAAATTTTTTTGTAGGAAGCCAAAGTTTCAATACACAATTTTATTATTTTGTTCCAGATACTTACTAATCTCCCCTTGAAGGGAAGTAAGCCAACGAGGGTTGATTTCACAAACTTTCACTTAATTTTCTAGTAAAGCATTATGGCTCCATCCTTAACAATTCAGTGTCTTCAGTAGTTAGTTTCAGACCCAGAACTTTTTTTTTTTTTTTACTTTTTTTGGGGTCCGGTCAGGGGGCCTGAACTCTGGGCCTGGGCGCTGTCCCTCAGCTCTTCAGCTCAAGGCTTAGCACTCTACCACTTGAGCCACAGCACCACTTCCGGCTTTTTTCTTTTTGCTTATGTGGTGCTGAGGAATCGAACCCAGGGCCTCATGCATGCAAGGCAAGTGCTCTACTACTGAGTCACCTTCTCAGCCCCTTTGTTTTATTTTTTGTTTGTTTTTTGTTTTTACACTGTTACTCAGGCCTGAACTCAGTTTTTTTTCACACAACCATTTGAGCCAAAGCTCCACTTCCAGATTTTTGGTGGTTAATAGAGACAAGAGTTTGTGGGACTTTCCTGTCCAGGCTTTGAACAACAAAGCCTCCTAAGTAGCTAGGATTGTAGGAGGATACAGTACTTTGTGTTGAAATGAGAGATGGATTTGGATTTAGACGACATGGATTTTAGTCCTAGCACCTTCTCAGCTTATCTGGAGGACTGAATGACAGAATATATGGGAAGCACTTAGAAAAAAAAAGTACTTCATGAGTGCATAGAAGTTGTGACATTTGGGCTGGTTTTCCAAATGCTACTGAGAGCTGGTTTCTTTTCCCAGATGTCTCCACTTGAAATGAAAAGGTAATTTAAATGAATCTTGCAAAGATATTGACATAGCTAACTTTACTGCAAGCTCTGGAGTTTAAAGCTTCCCCCCAAAACTTTGGAATGCTGGCTAATTTAGTTATCTCACCAAACAAATGCTGAGCAATTTGGCCATCTCACTTGCCCTGGTAGGAAGAAAGTGGCTTTGTTTTAAAGCAAATGAGATTGCTTTGGGTCTTGCTTTGTATGTTCAGCAAACTAGCTCAGGTTTATTGGGAAAGAAAACAAATGAATCAGCAAATGAACACCATATAATCAAGGCCGGAAGCCTTGAACTCTGTCCAAAGACTACATAAAGAACAAGCAATGAATAAATTAATAGTTATATTATTATTACTGTATATAAGAAGTAAATTACATTTGAATATGGGAGAAGTGGCTTTTCAAATGAATATGTTTGATTTTCTTCCCTCTTTTGGTAGCACTGGGTTTTACACTCAGGCTTTTGTGCTTGTTAGGCAGGCCTCTGCCACTTGAGCCATACCCTCAGTGTAACTTCAACTTTAATTGATTAAAATTATGTTCCACAGTTTTATGACATATGAAACTACAATTAGATTTTAAAGGTATTCAAGAATATTTGCATCACTTAACATAATTTTTTCCAAGTCTGTCCATGTCCTAACAAATGGGGCAATATCATTCTTTCTGATGGAGGCATAGAATTCCATTGTGTATATATACCATATTTTCTTGATCCATTCATCTACTGAGGAGCATCTGGATTGGTTCCACATCTTAGAAATGGTAAATAATGCTTCAATAAACGTAATTGTGCTGGTAGCTTTAGTATGGTCTTGTTTGTGATCATTTGGGTAAATGCCCAAAAGTGGGATTGCTGGGTCATAGGGGAGCTCTATGTGGAGTTTTCTGAGGAACCTCCATACTACTTTCCAAAGTGGTTGAACAAGTTTACACTCCCACCAACAATGCAGTAGGGTTCCCTTCTGTCCACATTCCTTCCAGTATCTGTTGTTACTAGAGTTTTTGATTATAGCCATTCTAACTGGGTTGAGGTGATATCTCGATGATGTTTTGATTTGCATTTCTTTTATGGCTAGAGATGTTGAGCATTTCTTCATGTGTCCCCCACTGTATAACCCCTGCTTTCACTGTATTTGATGTTGGTATAATTTGTGGAGGGGAAGGGAAAAAAAATTGTTTAAGTAGGGATACAGGTGAACCCATTGCAACAATGAGATGTACAAGTTGTTATGTCGAAAAACAAACTTTACAACTTTGGCTGGGGGAGGGGGGTGGGAGATGGGAAGGGATGGGAAGGGGAAACAAAGGAGGAGGCAACAATGCTTGATAAGAAATGTACTCATTATCTTGCCCATGTAATTGTAACCCCTCTATATGGTATTTTCACAATAAAAAAAAGAATATTTGCAATTTTCTTTTGCTAAATACAATGTATACTTTGGGATTCTAAATAGAATTCATGATTTTGCTTTGCTGTTAGCTACGTTTTTATAAGTTCAGTCACTGATCACAGTATTTTACGTAACCCAGTTCCATGCAATAAAACTCTACGCCTCCAAACAAAAGTGTTCAGTGTCATATTTACCTTTTATGAGTTATTGGTGATGGGAGACTTGTCTTACTTTGATTGCATACATATAAATGCCTTTGCTCTAATGATTTACTATAGAAAAGGGGATTTATTTTCACTCTCAGTTGGTGATTGCTTTAGGTAATTTAGAGGTTTAGAAAAATTGGGCTTTATTCTTACTCTTTGCCTTGTGCAGTAAGGTAGCCAATAGCAATGGGAAGCTATTGAAAACTTGAGAAACGTTTAGTACCATAAAGAAACTAAAATTTCAATTCTAATTAGTTTATATTTATATAACAGCATGGGATTAGTGGTTGCTATACTGGGCATTGAAGGTCTCGATCTTTACAACTGATGCATGAATAGAAGCTCCTCCAAGAAGAGCTGATATTGAAGTATATGGCTTAGAAAACATTGCTCTGGAGTGAAGAGAAATTAAAGGTAGGAAGGGTGAAGAGAAAAACTTTCTAGAAGAATGAAAGGATGGAGAGCCACTTAAGTGATAAGAGATGGGAGGCTGTGAGTTCTGTGCCTCCAGTATTTTGTGTGTGAAGTCTCTTTCATTCAGATGAGTATTGTTTGGGATCAGTGCTGACAATGGAGCACCAGACCATGCATGTAGGAACTCGTCCTCTTCCATGGAGCTACAGACCCAGGCTCTTGTTGCAGTGCTTAAGTTTCTTCTACTTAGAGATCTTTTCCTTCAAGAAAAGATCTAAGCACCAATGGCTCACGCCTGTAACCCTAGCTACTCAGGAGGCTGAGATCTGAAAATAACAGTTCAAAGCCAGGCAAAGCAGACAGATCCAAGACTCTTATCTCCAATTAATCAGTAAGAAGCCAGAGGTGATTCAAGTGGTAGACTGCGAGCCTTGAACTAAAAAGCTAAAGGAGAGCTTGCGGTCCTGAATTCAAGTCCCAGTACCAGCACCAATAAATAAATAAATGGCTAAATACATAAAAGAAAAAGAAAAAGAAAGGAAAGGTATTCTCTCTCCATTGCTCTTTCAAAGCCTGGAAACTAAAAAAAAAATAGAGATTCTTAGAGGTTTGTTTTGGAAGTCATAAACCAAGGCCCATTTGCCAGTCAATAATTGTAGAAGAGGTTAATCTAAAAATTAAGCAGACCACCAGTGGTTTATGCCTGTAATCCTGGCTACTTGAGAGACTCAGATATGAACATCGTGGTTCAAAGTAAGCCCAGGCAGTAAAATCCATAAAATTCTTATCTCCAGTTAACCACTAAGAAGAAAAAAAAGCTGGATGTGGAGCGCTGGCTCAAGTGGTAGAGTGCTAACCTTGAGCAAAAAAGCTAAGGGACAGTGCTCAGGCCCTGAGTTCAAGCCTCAGAATTGGTACACACATACACAAAGATAAACATTGCAAAGGAGAAGCATTTATTTTAGTGCTCAAGCAAATTATGTGCTAGTGGAAAAAAAGAGAAATGCTAAATAGCATATCTATATTAGGAACTAGCATCAGATAATATGATTATGTTTCATCTTCTCAAACATTGATGTCTTCCATGACCTCATCACCTTCAAAACAGGAAGGCTATCTCAAGTTTATTGCCTTACATGTCATTAAAAGCAATTCCACAGACAATAAGATTTGACATTCTAAACAACTAAGTTGTTCTTCAATACTGTTGTATACATATGACTAGAGAACATGATTTTAATGCAGAAAACTATGTTATGTTCTGCTCTATCACTTGATTAGTTAAGGCTTCCTGAATAAGACATAAAAGCTTATTCCAGGAGCAACATTCCTGCTAACTTCTGTGTAGTCTTGCCGATGTGGTGAACTAATCTGTACGATGCATTGACCGTTTGCTGAAACAAAAATGTATCTTACCCAATCCAAGATTGTATGTTAAGTTCTGAATTCACTGTTTAGAAAATGACAAAACGGTAGCTCTATGAAGCAATGAAGTGTGGAGATTGGAAAATGATCTGACAAACACTTAAGGAGACAGATGTTGCCATCTACCTATATTCCACTGCACTTACCTGAATGAGGTTGGCAGCTGGGTTTCTTCTTTTCTCAAAGTGTTTCTGGCGGTGCTGTTCCTGGACTTTTAATGCAAAACCTGAGCCAAGAATACCCTGGAACAAAATATAAAAATAGAATAAAAACTCCCACAAATTTCAAAAGTACTGTTGAGTAGTATAAATATTTTTTTTTAAAAATCTCTAAAATGAGTCTGTAAGAAAGACTAATAGTGTGACCTATCCATAATAAACACGTTACTTACTAAAACAAATACTATTTGTCTCTATTATAATACCACCAGATGATGGAAAGTTACTGGAAAATATCACCAAGAGATAGAACAACTTTTGTTTTTGGTGCAAGTCCTAGAGCTTGAACTCAGGGACTGGGCAATGCCTTTGAGATTTTTTTTGCTAAAGAATAGTGCTCTACCACTTGAGCCACAGCTCTGCTTCCAGCTTTTTGATGGTGAATTGGAGATATGAGTTCCATGGACTTCCTGCCTGAGCCGGCTTCCAATTACCATCCTCATATCTCAGCCTCCTGAGTAGCTAGGATTTCAGATATGAGCCCTTGTGCCCAGCTTCTTTTTAAAAAATATTTAGTTAATTACTAATTACAAATTAAAAAATCTCCAAATGCTTAAGAAGATGATGAGTTAACCTGTCCAATTTTGTGTCTAGTGCATTTTGACCACTCACTCCTTCTATCTTTCTTTCCTATCTGCTGTGCCCCTGTTCCCTTTTCCATTTATCTACTCCCCTCCCATAAGGTCCAGCTACCTACTCAAATGATGTTTCCGCTTCCCAATACTCATTTTGTGAGACTGTCTATCAATTATTCAAAGGGTTTACTCCATGGAGTTTTATTCCTGCATATCAAGTCTATATGCACATGACCTGTGTGTGCTTACCTGGGATGTTGTATTTTAGGTCTCTGATATGACAAGATATAACAATTTCTTTCTTTAGCAAATAAATTATGCACTGTCATTTGCTGTCTCATGACATAGTAAGAAGCCTCATAATTGCAAATAAAAATGACAATTAAAATTTGTGTGTGGCCTTCTCTTTTTTATTTATTTATTTTTTTGTTGGTCGTGGGGCCTGAACTCTAGGTCTGGGCGCTGTCCCTCAGCATTTCAGCTCAAGGCTAGCACTCTACCACTTGAGCCACAGTGCAACTCCCAGCTTTTTCTGCTTATGTGGTGCTGAGGAATTGAACCCAGGGCCTCCTGCATGCTAGGCAAGCACTCTCTTCCAGTGATAGCATTTAGAGGGTATGAATTCTGATTCTGGATGGAGCCGGGGTGTTGTGGGAACAAATCTATCACTATGATGAGAATCTGCAAGGCTATATTTCCATCCATAACATGGGGGAGAAAAAATGGAGACTCTAATCTATCCCAGTGGTAGTTATCTATGATGTTATAATTCTACACCTACCAAAGTAAAGTCAAAGGAAGACAGACGTTATCCACATGAGACAAATGGGCATTCACTGTGAAGAGGAGAGGTGTTTCACCTACTCTATCTATACAATAAAGACAAGAGCAGGGGTCATTATGGCTCAGCTCTAAGCTTGCATTTAATCTATAATTCTTTTCCTTTTTGATTTGGGCTTCCTTATTTGGGTTTGAGGGCTGGTAATCTTACAGTTTTATCTTTTGTTGACATTAGTTTATTCTGCTTTTCATCTCAATCTGCTCAAGTCCTGGTTCTTTAATGTACATATCTCTTCCCACTTTGTTCTGGTGTAACATTTGTGAAATAAAGATGCTTTTTGTCTTAGCTTTGGGTTGGTTTTCAGAGCCTTGTTAAATTCCATCTCTGGGCTTTATCTGCATTTTCAGCTTTATTAGGATGGGGCTTGGAGTTTTAATGCTTTCAAGTTTGTGGATTTTACTTGCTAGCTATAAATTATTAGCTTTTTATTAAACTTCAAGGAGTCTAACCCTCAGGTTAGAGATGAGCATCTTATAAGAACTAAGTCAGTATTTGTCATAGGTAAAGGGTGGCTGCTTTCCTCTCTTTTCTATTTTTAAAGTAACTCAAGGATAGCAAGGATGTCTGGAAAGCTGGTGGATTTTTCCATCTCTAGGAGATGTTAAATCTTGGCTGGGTGACAACTTGGCTGAGATATTTTTGAGCTCTAGATAACCTTTAACCTTCCTTCTTATCTTGGGCTTTCTCAATTCTGAGTATCTCTGTGACAATAACCAGACAATAAGCAATGAAATTTTGTTTAAAAAAACACAGTTATAAAAATAATACAATTTGGTATTAGTGAGCAATGACCTACTGTATTATTAATTAGGATAAACAACTGTGCCATGAAATTAGCGATTACATCACAGGTTCTGGTCTTCCTCTCCTCTTTTCATTGTGTGTGTCTCAGGCTGTCAGAGATCTTCTCAGACAGGTTGTGGTTACACAAACTAAGCTTCATAAAAAACCTGGTTTCTAGGTCATGGTTTATAATTTTAAATAATATTTCCCTCTACTTGGAGACTATAAAAATGGCTTTTCATTTCTAAATCCATACCAATTCTGTTTGTTTGCTTCTCCTACATTTTTCTTTTGTATACAATTTTGTTGATTTATTTTTCCTTTAATTTCATTTTCCACAAAGAGTGAAATGTAGGAAAGAATAAAAAAATGTCAGGATGTATATCAGGAAATAACAGTATACATTAATTGTGCATACACTATATGCATTTTTGTATATAACCTACTGTTACGGAGTATAATTTAGATTATGCTGACATTGAGTCAGTGCTCTAGCTTCCATTTTTTGAGCACTGATTGTGTGGATTTGAGATTCAGCATTAAATTGGAAAATGAAGACAGGTATACAACACAACTTCAGCATCTATCAAAGTAAAATATGCTGAAAATCACATTGTCATTGCTTAGAAACACACATTAATAGGTAGCAACTGTTTGCTACATATCTCTTGTGGCAGACTGCACATGATGATCATTATTTAAGCAGGTCTGTTTATCGTCTGATTATGACTCCATTCCAACTTTCTTCTACATCTTTCTTAGTGTACAGCTCAGCAGTGCCCCTAAGTAGAAATCCGTTAAAATCTGTTATATTGTATATATATATATATATATATACACACACACACACACACATACATACACATGAACAACATGACTTATTTTTGAACATGTTTTGTCCCTTCAAATACTGACACAAATAGATGAAAATTCTTAGAAATTGAGCTTTCTTTTCACTCATTTTCTAGGATAACAAGAATTACATTGTTGAGCTTCAAGTAATAGCAACAGGCTGAAAAGTGTAATATACAAATTGCTTTGGTAACCATTTAAAATATTTACCTCCCCTTATGTTCCAGAGTGAAAAAACTTAATTTGTACATCATACATGACAGAAAAAGATATGCTGAAAGATTCTTTCCACTCTTTAAAATATATATATATATTTTTGGGGGGGAGGGGTCCGGTCGTGGGGCCTGAACTCTGGGCCTGGGCGCTGTCCCTCAGCTCTTCAGCTCAAGGTTAGCGCTCTACCACTTGAGCCACAGTGCCACTTCCGGCTTTTTTCTTTTTGCTTATGTGGTACTAAGGAATCAAACCCAGGGCCTCAGGCATGCAAGGCATGCGCTCTACCACTGAGCCACCTTCCTAGCCCTAAAATATATTTTTAATCAATAAAATTTTTTTTATTATTATAAAGGTAATATACAGAGGGGTTACAGTTATATAAGTCAGGTAATGAGTATGTTTCTTTCTGGACACCTTCACCCTGTGCTGAAAGACTTTTTCAAAGTTATTAATATTTTCTGTTATATAATAATTATATTTGTTACTATTGTTAGTGATTATAGATTGTGACATCCACTCATTTATTGAATGGTTAGTCAAAGAGAACTGGTCCTTGATTGAAATGATTAACTGGATCTTTCAAAGAATTCTATTCCTATGAAACTCAAAAAAAATTGTGTGTGTGTGTGTATTTGTGTGTGTGTGTGTGTGTGTGTGTGCACGCGCACCTCAGTACTGGGGTTTGAACTCATGTACTATCCTCCAGCTTTTTTTGCTCAAGACTGGCACACTACCACTTAAGCCATAGTTCCAGTTCCAGCTTTTTGCTGGTCCATTGGAAATGTAGCGCTTGGACTTTTCTTTGGCTGGCTTTATAACTCAGTCCTCAGGTCTCAGTCTCCTAAAGAGCTAGAATTACAGGATATGAGCCACCAGTACCTAGCTAAAATTCTCCCCCTCCCCCCTGCCAAATTTACCCAATTTTAAAAATTACCTTTAATTCCTTGTAGAAAGGAATTTCAGTTCATCATGTCAGATTAGGAGTACAGAGCATCCTGGTTAATGCCACAAAACTGAATTTTTTTTTTTTAAATCAGTAAAGCCCTACTTGTAGCAGGAGTCTTCAGCAAAGTTGGGGAGGGGTGCCCTCGAGAGGACAAAGATCTGATTGTCTGGATGCTACAAAGGAATAGGGCAGGAAATGATCCCTGGGGGAGTTTGCCATGGGGGGCCTGAGACTGCAGAGAAAGTCCTGGAAACTTTGGGGAAACTTTGGTCCTCAGGTTTCTGGAGTGGAGGAACTCTAAACAGAAGAACGTCTCTCAACCCCCTCCACCTTTCAGCAAAATGACTACATGTTCTCCTAAATTTCAGCCAGTCAGTCCTGTTGGCTGCAAGGTGGTATTCATGGGGCAAAGCCATCACTCAGCTCCAAAGTAAGGCTGCAGCAGAAAGAGGGGTCCTAGAGGCCACTTTTCTTGGCATTGTTAGGAGATGTTCTGTTCTACCCAAGTGCATTTGTCAGATTGCCAACACTGTAGTGACTTAATTTATCTATAAAAATATTACCACTTGATTGGAAACATCCCCAAGAAAGACTACTTAACTCTCTAACCTTTAACCTAACACAGTGACACATTTAACCTCCCTGTAATGTGCCAGAGTTTCATTCTGGGGCAGAAATATTTTGCTAGACTGGCTGTAGCCAGCTCCCAGAGGTAGGCGGACCCTAATTGGTGAAATTCTTGGAACACTTGTGTCTGCCTGTCTGTTACATGCTTATCTATACTTCTTTGGTTGTTCACTTTCCATAATTTCTTTCTGTTGTTATGTTGATTCTAGCAACCTCCCTCTACATTAGGTGTTTATAATTTTCAAAGAATTATGAAACTATATAGGTCAACTTCTCAGAATTGTCTCTGATAATGCAAGTTGGGCTGTGAATTAGGTCTCAAGTAGTTGTTCTGTGGGACAATGTATATATGATTGTATATTCATCTTATATGTGACCTCAAGTGCCACGCCACCTTCTGCGGAGTCTGCATGAGAGATCGCATTAGACAAAAAGCTTCAAGGAAGCATGCCTGCAAGAAGGGGGTGTTGGTTCAAGACTTCCCATACACTTGGCTGCTCCTTTGTAGCCTCTACCTTTATTCTTACTATATTCTTCCTGGCTGTATATTCGTTGCCTTTATTCTCATTTTGGCTATTTTTCTCTTGATCTGCGAACAGAGCATGTTGTATCTTTCCAGTCCAATAGAGACGGTTTCTCTAAGTAATAAAGACCTAAGACCAAAGATTAAATGTGGGCAATGCCCCAATCAATCTATCATCTGATGTGACGTTGCCTCCAGAAACTCCTACAATTTCACAAGCGGTTTTGCAGCTCACGCATAGTAAATATAGAGACTTAAAATTTCCAGATATGTCCAACAGACAAAATCAATGAATTAAACTAAGTTAGAAAGAGTTATCCCAGTAGTTCAGAGAGTTCTAAAAAAGAAGGGACCTCTGATTATAAAAGAAAAAGAAAGATTCTCCCAACAGTTATGATTAAGTTTAGTCCAACTTACGTTATAGGGAATAGATGGTGGTTTCACACAAAATATGAAGTTAGTAACATCACATTTCCTGAACCAACCGAAGAACTATTTCCTTATACAGGAGTTTATAAAGATGAAAATAGTTCAATAAAAATAAAAATAAAAAGAGTATAATGTAAGTACAGCCCTGTCTTAGGTTTGTTAATTATTAAACATAAAAAGGCTGAATAGATGACGCATTCTATTAAACAATATGCTAGACTTGTTTTGCACCACTTAGCTTAAACAGTTGGTGGGATAGTCATCAATTTTCATGTAATTCATCAATGCTTTGCCTTTAAAAAAAATTGATTACGTGCTTAAATAAACAAAGAATCTATGTCACAATCACACACTGTATAAAAATGTTAATTCTCCTCAATAAAGATACACTCAGATGCAACTCTTTTGAGTCTGTGTCTGTTTGTCACTTCGCCGACTCCTTTGCCCACCTATCCCGAGATCCCTGTCCTGTCGGTCCCAGTGCTTCGGCCAAGCTGGTCCGTCGCACTCAAGGTATACATAAACACAAAAGCCAAAAGTATTTTGTGTCATTATTTTAGGGGGAAAAAAATCTAAGACTGAATTTTACTGTTCCTAAAGGATTTTCTTGCAAGGAATCTGATTATTACATCTGGAATCTTATCATAGTGAACTTCTGCCTTGTTCCAGATTGCTGAGATTGCCATATGAGTTAATTCCAGATAAATGATTTCTTTTTTTTTTTTCATTCTTTTTGTTTCACCATTTCACACTAGGAAATGTATACTTCTATATTCTTACTAGTGGATGTAAATAATATTAATTGAGTTTTCTCCATACTAAGCTCTTGACTTATATGATCATATTCTTTACTGAAGAATTTGTCTAGACTTAAGAATTAACCCTCAATCATACTGATGAAGAAACATCCTCAAAATTACTTGGTGAAGCTCTGTTCTCATATTCATATGTTGAAGTCTTAATCCACTATACCTCAGAATGTGACCTTATTTGAAGACAAGGCCTTTGCTGAGATAAAATCATATTAAAATGAGCATAATAGGCTGGGCTCTAATCCAGTATGACTGCTACCCTTTTAAGATGAGGAAATTCAGACAGAGTATATGAAGACACAAGAAGCAGCAGCTACTGACAAGCCAAGGAAAGAGCCGAGCCTAGAACAGGTCTCCTCGCATGGGTCTCAAAATGAACAAGCCTTGGTGACACCTCTAACCTCCAAGAACCAGGAGAGTTGATTTCTATTGTTTTGGAACCCAGCTTGCTACAGCAGCCTTCACACACAAATACAGTCTAACAGTATGCGACAGAGTTCATGTGGAGGTCTTATGTCTGTGCATGCGCCTAGTCTTTTCAGGCTCTTTTCTGTGATTTTTGAGTGGTCTGGAGTAGAACCAGCTGGTCCATCTGCAGTCATCCGCTGTGTTTGGGAAGGGTGAGAATGCCCTCGGAATTCATTAACAACAGACGGTCTTTAGCTCTGTGAGCTCAAAACTGTGCTGTTGAAAATCCCCATCTGACCTCACGACTGACCTGGCTTCCTTTGCAGGCTGCTCTCGGGTTTCGGGTTTTGGCTTGGTAGAGCCTGTACCATAGCATTACTTGTGTTTGGAGCAAGCCTGGGATTGTTTTCCTCAAGCACACCTGCTGTCACTACCCAGGACTTCTTTCTTTGGGCTCCCAAGAGCTATCCCCATTCTCATGGGAACAGGCAAATTGTAATATTCTGATCATCTACCTTTAAAGAAGCCAGACAATCACATGCTTAGAAAGACAAGCTTTGTCCATCAAGAAGAGAATAATCAGAAGCATGGGGGAATGATCAATGTACTCCTCATTCTGGAGGCAGAAAATGCTCATCAACAAACGTCAGTGACAGTGACACAAAAATAAATCACTGGACATCTTCAAAACACTTAAGGTCATATGCTTTTCACTCAAGTAGAATTGAAGAGGAAAATCCTGCAGTTCTGCAGAGCTATCTCTTCAACAGCATACTTGACAAGCTAAACTGGAGCAATCAGTTTTAAATAAAGGTATATTTAGATATGTACTGACATTGTGTGTGTGCGCGCGTGTGCGCGTGCACACGCACACCAGTACAGGGTCTTGAACTCAGAGCATTGTCCTTAGCTTTTTCACTTCACTCAAGCCACACTTACTCTGCCAGCTTTTTGCTGGTCAATTGGAGATAAGTCTCAGGAACTTTCTGAGCTGGGCTGGCTTTGACTCTTGATCCTCAGACCTCAGCTAGGAGGTAGCGGAGTAGCTAGGTGACAGGCATGAGCCACTGGCACTCTTTACCAACATTTAAAATAATTGGTCTAATGATAGAAGGTGATGCCATCTGAATTAGCTGCTATTAAAGTCTCAAGACCATGTTTTCTAAGTTCTCTAGTTAGATATATTTAGAAGAGTCAACATTTTACTAGAAAAAAGAGACGGCAATAATATCAGTTGTGTTTCCAAGCATGCCAATTTAGGAGAGCTCACTCCAGTAAACCTCTACGACCTAATTAGAGCTGCTTTATTGTTGCAAAGATACTCACGGCAGGAAGTGCAAAGAAAGAAATGCCAAGGAGTGCAAAGCCTGCAGAGAGCAATCTTCCCAGCCAAGTTAGCGGAGTTTTGTCTCCATATCCAATAGTTGTCAATGTAATCTAAAATCAAAACAAATAGAACATCCAGCTTGAGTATTGGAGAGGGAATTTAGGACCTACAAATAGAAGGTAAAGCAACATTTCCCCTAAATCATTATTCACGAAGGCCCGATGACGCATTTTATTACCGAGCTTTAATTTTCCATGATGCAGAACAGAACTTCTCTTTGTTTAAGGAAACAGTTCCCCAACTTGTCTAAGTATATTCAAAGACAGCGTAAGTAAGCAGATAATCATCTGTGACACACTGTGACAGCACTATAGATTTAGGAATGCCTCCCAAACCACAATTTGTGTGAATGTCCATTCATTACTTTGGCAAAGCATTTTCCAAAGATCTGGCATGTTGGAAGTACATGTTATGATTTTCAGTGCAACCAAAACGAGACGTACATAGTTCTTGTCCTAAAGTATTTATGGTATGGTAAGAAAAGAGTGTAATGTACAAATAAAACACCACATAAAGGGACGCAGGGATTATGATGGAGAAATAATTAACCTGCTGGAAGAATTCCTGAAATAGACTGATGGCACCAGCCTGGAAAATGAGGAGGCCTAACTAGGGAACTGTCATTGTACCTGGAATATGAAGGCAGGGTGATATTTTGAGAGGCAGAAATGATCAAGGAGCAGAAGGGAAAGGTGGCCAGCTGCATAGGCAGCAAGAACACACAGGGATGGTTCTGGAAATTATAAATTATGTGGAAACATGGTAGGCTGGAAGAACATTATTGGCATCTTCAATTTCTTCTTTTACTTTTTTGCCGGGCTTAGGGCTTGAACTCAGGGACTGGACACTGACCCTGAGCTTCTTTTTGTTCAAGGCTAGCACTCTATTACTTGAATCAAAGCACCACTTCTGGCTTTTTCTGTTTATGTAGCGCTGAGGAATTGAACCCAGGGCTTTGTGTATACTAGGCAAGCACTCTACCGCTAAATTGCATTCCCAGGCCTTCAATTTCTTTTATTAATTAAGTTTTTTTAAATTGTTGTTAAGTAGTTGTACAAAGGAGGTACCATATAACATAACAGTTATACTTAACTTATACTTAAGTTATACTTAACATATTTAACTTCATTTAATTCATTTGTAAGCACTTGCATACCACCTGATGTGTTTACTTAGAGATTTTTTCCCCCCAATACTGGGGCTTGAATTCAGGGCCTGGGAACTGTCCCTGAGCTTCTTTTTGCTCAAAGCTGGCACTCTACCACTTGAGCCATAGTTCCACTTCCAGCTTTCTTGGTAATGTATTGGAGATAAGGGTCTCATGAACGTTCCTGCCTGGGCTGGCTTGGAACTGAGACCTTTAGATCTCAGCCTCCTGAGTAGCTAGTGTTACAGGTATGAGCCTCCAATGCCCAGTATTACTTATAGATTTATAGATATATTTTATCTACTACAAATGAGGGAAACCATGCAACCTTTGTTTCTCTTGGTCTGGCTTAATATGCCACCAGCACAATCATGGTCATTGCAGCATTATTCATCATTGCCATGGTATGTGATCTGCCAGATGCACTCAAAGACAAATGGGTCAGGAAAATGTGATATAGATTGGGTTGTATAGTTTTCACTGTACACATTTTTTTACTTTCTTGATTACATTGATTTCTAAGCATTTATTTTATTTGGAAGCTATTATAAGTAAGGTTATCCTCATGATTTCTTTCTCAGAAAGTTCCTTGTTAGTGTCACAATTGATTTTTGTGTGTGTTGATTTTGTGTCTACACTTGATTGAATTTTTATTTGTTCTAGCAGTATATGTGTGCTATCTATACACATCTCTATCTATCTATCTATCTATCTATATTTTATCTATCTATCTATCTCTATGTTTTCTGTCTATTAGTTCAAGTCATCAGCCACAGTGATCCTGTTAGTTCTTCCTTCCCTATTGGAATGCTTTTCCTTTACCCTGTCTAATTGCTTTGGCAAGGACTTCTAGTACTGTGCTGAACAGACATGGTGGTAGCCATCCTTGTTTTGTCCTGGATCTTGGAGGAAAGGATCACACATTTTCATATTAGTGTTTTGTTAGTGGCAACCATCATACATGAGGTCCACTGTACTGTGCTCCTTCTATATTTAATTTGTTTAGAATTTATTGTTGTCAAATGCCTTTCCTGAATCTAATGAGATGATCTGAAATAAACAGGTATGAAAAGACAAATACCCATTTTTCTCTCTTGCATGTAGAATCTAATACAATCAAACTCAAAGAAGCTGGGAGTATAATGGTGAAGACAGATATTAATAACGACTCTGCTCGTCTAAATCACTGAGTGTACACTTCAAATGCTCTCATCACAAAATAAGTAAAGTAAGTACTTGAGGTACTAGATCCCTATTATTTGATTTAATTATTCCACTGTATAAATATGTACAACAACAATTTTCAATTTATAATACAAGTAAAAAAATAGAGACAGAGGAAGTTAACTAGATCTATTAAAGCTTGGACACTGAATTTCTTTTTCCTTTCCTTTTCCTTCACTTCTTTTCCTTTCCCTTTCCTTTCCTTCTCTTCCTTCTCTTTCCTTCTTTTCCTTCACCTTCCATCTTCCTTCCGTTCCTTTTCCATTCCTCTTCTTCTTCCCTTCCTTTCTTCCCTTTTTGCAATGCTCCAGATGGAACCCCAAACCTCACACATGCTAGTCAGTTCTACTGCTGAGCTACATCTACAGCCCCTAGGGAGTGTCTCTAAAAATGGTTTACTAAAAGTGAAGTATTCAACAGGCTTCCCATATCCCTTAGAACAGGTCTCATTCCTCTCTATGGCTTCCAGTGTCCTAAATGCTTTCCCCAGTGGGTCTCTGGCCCCATTTCTAGCTTGCTCTCTCACCATTTGCCATCTCCTTCTGCTTCTGTGTCTGCCCTCCTGTTCATTAGCACACCAACCCTTTTCTTGACTCTTGTCTCAGGAACCTTGCACTTGCTGTTTTCTTTCTGGATTGTTTTTATTCCTTGGTCTCTGTTCAGAGAGCTACTCAATTCTCAATCCATCCCTGGATTGACAATCCATCCCTGATTGAAAGACCATCCCTGGTTAATGGGTGCAGGAGTACAACTGGATAGGAAGATTATCTTCCAATGTTCTATAGCACAGTAGAAAAGTTAAGGTTGACAAAATTGTAGTTGACAGTAATCCCAGTCATTAGCTGAGTATTTCAAAATAGTAAAGAAGATTTTGAATATTCCCAACACAAAAGAACGATAAAAGCCTGTGGTGATAGATACACAAATTACTCTGCTCTGATCACTATGCATTGCACACCTGTATAGAAATGTCAGCCTATATTCCATAAATATGCATAATGACTGTGTCAATTAAAAATAAAAATGCACTTAATAAAGGCAATCTGGATCATCTTATGTAAGTAGTTCTTTGTCAATTGTTCCTTAAATCCTTATTCTGTTCATTTTTATTTATAGAAGATACCAATATCTGAGAGAGCAATATACTGCTCAAGTTTACTTGTTTGTTATTTCTCCACTGGGAAGAAGAAAACTTCATGTAGACTACAACTGTCTCCTGTGGATAGATGGCTCCTTGCATAGCAGTTTGCATATCGTAATCACTTAGTAAGGATGCGCTGAACAGGTGAATGAAAGCCTCAAGTGCTGGGATAAGGATTCTGCTTCCTGTTTTGCAACCCAGAAATACTTATGAAATGGTTTTTATGTGGTATTGAGGAATCAAACCCAGGTCTTCATGTATGCTAGGCAAGCACTCTACTAAGCCACATTCCCAGATGAAATGTTTGTTTAAGCAGTGTGCTTTGAATGGTGATTTTAGAAATTGTGATTTAGGCAGCTAATATATCAGGTGTATTGGCACAGGGAGAAATAAGAAGTAGGAAGGCCAATTAAGAGACTGTATGGACAGAGGGCAAAGAGACATAACTGGGATGTTGGATGGAAATGCATTATTGATTATCTGGGGTCAATGGGGTCAAAGCAAGGAGAATAAGTCAACAATGACTTAGAAAGTTCAAGTGTGAAGATGCTTGCACCATTAAAAATACGATAAAGAAGTAAAGGATATTTTGGAGGCTGGGCACTTGTGGCTCACATTTCTAATTCTCATGACTCAGGAGGCTGAGATCTGAGGATTGAGGTTTAAAGCCAGACTGAACAGGAAAGTACTTCAGTTTTCTTATTGTCAAGGTGATGTACAAAGGGGTTACTGTTGCATAAGGAAGGCAATGAGTACATTTCTTTCTGAAGAGGGTTACCCCCCCCTCATTTTCTCCCACTTCACCCCCTCCCACCTCCCTCTCCCTCAAGTTGTAAAGTTCATTTCCAATACAGTGTCTAGTGAGTCTCATTGTTGCATTGGTTCACCCTTTGTCCCACCATTTCTGCGATTCCCCTTCTCTTCTGCAAATCAGATAAACTTATGTGCAAGACAAAGGATACAGAAATAAAAATAATCTCTTATCTTAAATTTACCAATGAAACACCTGAAGTAAAGATGTGGCTCAAGAGGTAGAATACTAGCCTTGAGCAAAAGAGCTAAGGAACGGCACTCAGGTCCTGGTACAAAAATAAACATAAGAAAGAGAAGGTTTTCAAGTAAAGGCGAATGTTTCATTTTGTAAATTGTGACTTGCAAAATGGCAAGAGAAGTCTGATATAGAAATATCTCGTAAGAAACTGAGAATGACAGCTTGAGTCTTGAGAGAAAGGTAGATTGAACTAGGCATGGTGTTTGGGTTTTGGAACCAGGGACAGGTACGTTGAAGTGTTATGTAGAAAATAGATCACAAAACCTGGAAGAAGAGGCTGAAGGACATCTCAGGACCACAGACATTGAAGGATGACAAGGAAAGGAAAGTCAGAGGAATAGTGCTTTGGGTTTGCTGGGGGTAGGGGGTGGTAATGGTGTTTTTGGTATGTATGCTAGTCTTGGGGCTTGAATTCAGGGCTTGGCCATTGTCCCTCTGGGCCTGGCTTGGGAGAGTTTTCATTACTTCCTGAAGCCCCAGGGAAGAG